CGCGCGACCACCTGGCGACGTGCAGGCCGAGCAATAGAGGTGAAATTGGGGCCCGCTCCAAGCCCTGGCGAATTGGGCTTGGAAGTCGCGTGATGTGCGCGTGACTGTTTCGGCCCCGCCTGGCGCTGCTGGTGCCCGGCGCTGGATCATGGAAGCTCTGGATCCAATTCTCGCTGTTCGAAGCAAGGATTTCGGGCGTTTTTTGTCGACTCGACGTATTCATTGCTGCAAACCTGGCGGATAAATTCAACTGGGCGCGTCGGAGGAGGGGCCTGCCCGCGCGGCAAGTCCAGTCCATCTGTCGCCCAAATGGGCCGGATGGAGCAAGATGCCCAGAGAGAGATCATATTTTTTTGAGGAGCCGAGACATGGTTCGTGCCATCTGCGGTCTAATTTCTTTTCGATCGGAGCATGGCCAGCGTCGTGTCTGTCGCGATCTCCTCAACATTGTGGTCGATGGAAACAAACCAGGCCAATTGATGCTGTATTTTTACAACGAATGGATGGCCGTGCGTCGTGCAATGCATGGTGGCGAGACAAGATTGAAGACGGGGTTCGTGCTTGTCTGGTTGATTTCCCAGTTGCAGAAACGAATGTATCGCGAACGTGGGGATTTTCACCTCGACCCCAGAATGATGAGGTTGAATCGGCGCGGGTGATGGGGGCGTGAGAAGGCCAGCGAAGCTTCGCCTGGGGCGGCGCCGGCTTCGGCCTCGCCAGGAAAAAGAAAGGGCCGCGTCCGCGACGGACGCGCGAAGACAGAGGTGAAATGTACATGCGTGGTCCAAGGGGCGCCGGCCCCGAATCGAAACAGAGGCTGCCCCTGCGGCCGCGAGGGGCCGAAGGCTGCGCCGCCTTAGCCGGCGCAGACCCGCCGGATGGTAGACGCTTCCCTTGCGGGTGACTCGGGGGAAAGGTGTCGTTCCAAGAGAGAGGGCAAGGGAAAAGGGCGGGGCCGATCTGCCGCCCCGGGGCCGCCTGGGCCTGGGCGGTCCGAACCGCCCCGGAGCCCCTCGCGCGAGAAGCAGTTCAAAGTCGTATGCTTCACTTCAATTCGGGGGAAACGTGGCGGGCCGACCGCGCGGCCCTCCCTTCTGCCTGCGGCGCCGGGGATCGACCGATGCCGAGAGGTCCCGGCGAGGAGCGGGAGGGGTCGTTGACCAGTGCAGAGGGGGGGGGGGCCCGGAAGGTGCGAGCGCGCTCGGAAGCGAGCCGATGCCGCCGCGGCCAGTGTCGACGCGAGTGCCGCTCCGACGGGTCCGACGCAGGCAGAAAGGAGGTCCTCCTCCTCCTCCTCCTCCTCCTCCTCCTCCTCCTCCTCCTCCTCCTCCTCCTCCTCCTCCTCCTCCCTCCTCCTCCTCCTCCTCCTCCTCCTCCTCCTCCCTCCCTCCTCCGCCCTCCCCCACCCGTGACTTTGCTGCAAGCTTTCCAGGCGGCTGTGCGTGGCGCTCGGGCGAGAGGGCCACACCCCGAGAGGGCCACACCCAGAAAGGAAGAGGGGGTCGCGGCCAGAGAGGAGGTCGGGGAGAGAGCCGCGGCGGCAGCGGGGGATGGCAGAGCGCCTTGTTGGCCTTGGCATGGGAGCAAGAGGCGCCTTTTCGATTCTGTTGTGCACGTCGCGCCATCGCCCCGTGGCATGGGCGACGGGCGCTCCGGGGGATCGGTGGCTCAGACGCCGATCCCCTTAGGAATGCTGAATTCATTTCTGCTTGTTAAGGTCGGTGATTGTTCTTCTATTATTGAAGTCAGTCGTTGTCCCGAAGTTCCGTGGGCGGCTCAGGCGTCTGCGTTGGCGAGGGGGCGAGCGCCTTCTTGGGTCTCCGAACAATGCGCCTTGTAGGGTGCCGTGCTCCCCCCCGCCGCATCTCTCCCCGACCTTCGGCTTGGGCGGGGGGCAGTGTTCGGAGGTCAGAACGAGGCGACTAGTTGGAGGAGTGTTGCTGGGCCCCTCTCCGCGATATTGCTGTTTCTTCGCCGCGTAGGATGGGCCGTGCCTTATTTCGCGGAGCTCGTCGACGCTTTTGGCGACTCCGTTTTGTCAGTATGTTCGCTTGCCTTCGCGAAGAAGGCCCTGCGCTCCGCCGTGCAGCGACAGTTGGCGGGGGCGAGCGCGTCCTCGTTGCTCCCAGATGCCGGGCGCCTGTGCTGCGATCAGATGAGAGCCCAACTAGCTTCTCGGAGATTTACAGGGCTGCAGAAGGCGGTGATTCGGTTCGGCCCTTGGGTCGCGTTGGATTTCGCTTGTCCTGGCTTTGGGTGGGGGCGGGCACGGGCTTGCGGAGCTGACAGGAGTCGAGCGCGAAGGGAGGGGGTGGGGACTTGACCCTCGGCGTGGCCATTTTGGGTCAAGCGCGCGACGCGTGCCCCCCGAGGGCGGCCCGGGCTTTCCCCTCGCCGTTCCCACTGTGGTCGGCTGGGCTGCACCACCCCTCGCTCTGGCAGTCCTACAACCATCCCCCCCCCACCATCGTCCTCCGCCATCGTCGGCAACCCCCCCTTTCGCTGGGACAGACCCAGAGCCAACGCCCTGGTGCCTTGCCGGGGCCGCCGTGCACGGCGGCTGGTTATGGGCTGCTGTGCGCCCCGCTTGTGCGGGCGCGGCTGGGCCCGTAACCGCCCCGTGCTCGGTGGCTTCGGGGGTGGGGCGCCAGGGGTCGCGGGCGCGGGTGTCTCCTGGCGGGAGGGGGGGGCAGGTGAGCGCCCGCGGTCCCCCCCTTCCTTCGGTGCGGCAGGCAAGGGGGGGGGGGTCGGACGGACGGGGTGTGGGAAGGGTGGGGGGGGCGCTGCGTAACAATGCGAGCGCGCTCGCGGAGATGGCTCAGGGGGCGCGCCTCGTGGGGGGTTTCCCCCTCCACCCTCTCGCGGTCGTGCTCTCTCGGGCCTGGGCGAATGGGCGCGTCGCCGCGTGTGTGTGTGTGTGTGTGTGTGTGTGTGTGTGTGTGTGTGTGTGTGTGTGGCGTCGAAAACGTTTCGGGCTTGCCTGAGTCCAGCGAGGATCGCTTGGTGCATGGGTTATGGTTTTGCCTTGCTTGCGGTAAGGGACATCATGAGGTTCTCGAGAGGGTCCCAGCCAACGAGCGGCCCAAACTCGGTGAGGTTGATTCCGAGGATCCCGATACGTTCCTGGTGTGTTCACACTAGGGTCTTGTGCCGACGCCTTGGCGACATATTCCCGGGTCCGTCTTCGGAGTCTTTAGAGCTCCTCGAGGTCGTTTGGCCCCGCGACGCGGAGGCCGCGGACCGTGCGTTCAGCGAAAATGTCTTCATCCACGTGTCACATTTCAGGGGGGTGTTTTCAGAGTTTCAAGGACATAAAGAAGGCCCCTGCCCTGGTTTACGAGGCGCTGTGCACTGAAACTCCTGTGGGCTAACAGGGTGAACCCTGCGTGGTGTGCGACGTCCTGGCGGCTCTCTAGGCTCTGGGGGTTCCCGGGAGGTTTGCAGACCACGCGCGTGTAACCCAGGGTAGGGCGGTTTTTTCATCCCTCAAGAGTTGTCCAGGAACGGCTTAGGGTATGTTGTCTACGCTGAGGACAAAGAGATCTTCTGCCATTGTAGCGCTCCTCTCTGGCCCCTTCTCCCTGAGACCCCTCGGGCTGCCGGATTATGTGGGCTCTCGCTTGTGGGCGAGCTGGCCCGTCCTGGAAGTTTCGGTTTTCGGACTTTCCTCAGCACGGCCCGTCAGTTTGATCTCCCACAAGGAGAGAGGGTCTCATTACAAAAGGCCCTACGGTGGCCGTTCCTTGTTTTCGAGAGGCGGTCTTGAGACCATTTTGCAAGGTGAGCGGCCGCCAAGAGGCGGGCCCTGACCTGTCCCCAGAGCCGCAGTATCACAAGTCAGGAAACAAGGGCGCCCTCGAGTGCGCGAGGTTATTCGCGCTTCGCGCTTCGCGGTTCGGCTCCGACTCCTCCTCACCTTCCCCCTCTCCCCTGGGAGGCGGCGCGAGAGCGCGAAGTTATTCGCACTTCGCGCTTCGCGCAGCGCGAAGCGCGAAGTTGGGAGCCCTTGGGAAACGACGGGGCTGGTGTGATCGCGAAGGTTGGAGCCCAACGCCGCTCCCGGCACATTCAAGAGCAACGTTGCGGGCTGGCATTTCGGCGTCGGATCTCCAGGCTTGTTTGCTCATTCGCCGCGATCCTGCTCCCGCTTTGGCCCCGAGCATGATTTGCCCGATGTCGATCTCACGAAACGAGCCGCCCCCAGAGCTGTCCTGGCCGCGTCGCGCGTGTGGGGATGGGTTGGCAAGCGCTGGCAGTGCGAGCGTTGCCCCCTACGGTCCAGAGTGGCGCCCCGTCCCGAGGCAGGAGTGTGTAAAGGTGGCCCATGCATAGGCATCAGAGGCATGTGCGCGCCCAGGTTGCACGATGCCATCGGTGCCAATTTTGTTGTTATCTGTGCGCGTTGTTTAGCAGACGGGAGGCCAGGTGAGAGGTCTCCGGTGTGCCTGCCAATCTCTGTCCTAGAGGCCCCGACCAGAAACCGGTACGTCAGGGTAGGCAGCGCAATTGGAATTGTGTTCTTTTGGGAATCAACCCAAGTAAAGAGATGTTTTTGGTGGGGCCCTGGTTCGAGGGTGGCGTCCCACTTAGGGCTGAGTTCGAGGAGGAGTTTCAGACTCCAGCTTTTTCGCTTACCGAGTTGCTGCTCGAAGCGACTGGCGTCAGCTCCGTTGGAAACGGGATCGAGGGAGGTGTTGCTGATTGACCAATTCGTCAGGTCTTTTTCTTTTTCCCTTTCCCTGCTAGGTTAGAAAACCAGGGAAAGGTACTCCACGTTGCGGTTCCGTGGGTCGCCCTTCGGGCCGACAGCAGGCGATCGAGAGTTGCCATTGTGCAGTATGCAGTTTTTTTGTAGGATTTTCCCCTCAGTGCCATCGCCCAGCATTCAGGGTGTACGTCAGGGCTGCTGTGCCACGGTGGACTTTTTTTTTCCTTCCACTCCCCCCTCCTGTCCCTCCTGCTCCTCCTCCCCTTCCTCCGCCTCCTCCTCTCGCCGCGAGGACGACAAGATAGAGCAGGAGGTGATCAGGCTGGTGAAGAAGCCCCACCGCTTGTTGGCGGAGGAAAGGAGACTGGGGCGAGCGTAGATGCGCGCGGCCTCCTCCCACCCAACACTCTTGTCCTCCTCTGCAGTGTCTCACCTCCCCCCATAGCCCTTGCCCCGACTTGACCTCCTTCTCCTATGTTCCTGCCGCCGTCGTCGCCGCCGACGCCGTCACCATCGTCCTCACTTCTACTCTATTACTGCTACTAGTCAAGCGGCTTTTGCTACCATCCTAGTTCTTACCCTGCGTGTCTCAATCGTCCCCAGTTTTGTAGTCTTGCTTGTAGTTGCATGCGGCAAATCCTGTCCCTTTCCACCCCTGTCGTCCTCTTCTCTCTCCCCTGCTCCTCCCCTTCCTTCGCCTCCTTTTCCTCGTCCTCTCCCCCTTGTCCCCCTCCCCCTCCCCCGCAGCCCTGGCACTCGCCCACCTTTGGGACTGGTGGCCAGCAGGGCCAGGCGCGTGCGTGCGTGTGGCCTGGCATCCGCCCCGCGCAGCGACCCTGGATTGGCGACCCTTGTGCCCCTCCTTCCTTCCTTCTCTTCTCCCCCCTCGCCCGTCGCCACCACCGTCGCCGCCGACTCCCCAGACATCCGACGATGTGATCTTCTCAGTGCCGGTCCCAGAGGTCCCGACGCCTTCCTGGTGGACGCTCTTTCGTCCCCGTTCCGTCCGAGAGGGCCCTCGGGGCCCGCGACGACAGGCCCCAGAGGCCGAAACTCGGGAAAAGCGCAGGGCCTGAACACTCATCGTCGGGGGTCCGGGCCTGGGTGAGGAGAAGGGGGGAATGAGGAGGAAGATGAGGAACGATGGGGGAGGAGGAGGAGGCGGAGGAGGAGGAGGAATCTGATGTTGATGATAATGATGATGATGATGAGGAGGAGGAGGAGGAGGAACAATAGCAATAATATCAGTGATTCTATTACTGTGCGTAGTAATAATATTGATATTTGTCAGAAGTAGTGACAGCAATGCCTATGCTAGCAAGGGTAACTATTACATCACTGTTACGAAACATACGAACAGGAATACTAGTAATACGATGAGTTATAGGTATACTAGTAATGTTAGGACGACGGAAAAGACTACCACGAATCACGATACTAACACTACGAATAAACTAATCACAATCCTAGGATCCGTAAGACTAGCATGGTTAAGCATTTACATTATCAGACTACTAATATTACGACTGTTGGTAATACTACCAGCAGTGCTACTAACAACACAAACCCTACAACGAACCATAATGCTATGTATGCCAAGAAATTATTTATACTCGTAAGATTAGTAGAAGGACTAATGCCAATCTGCCAATTATAGTTATACACCTGCTAGCACTGTCATTATTATTTATATGAGTACAATTCGTATGAAGAGTTATACTATGAATACTCTTCTTGCTCATACTCATAGCAATACTACTGAGCAGAAGCATCATGCTAATGCTCAGACAGGCATAAGACTAATACTAGTACTACCAATACGGATAAGCACAATACAATGAACACATCTTATCATACGAATAACAGCAACAAGGGTAACAACATTGATCAAACTAATATGAGTACTAATCGTGAGAGCATGCATCATATTAATCAGATCGCTGAGAAACATTAATGCAACCCGTGTTAAGCATCTGATTGATATTAATAATTACGCCAGAGCGACCTTACCTAGGAGTTGGAGCCCCGAGGAGAGCAACATATTTGTAGTAACGGCAAACGCCGTCCTCCTCCTTCTCCTCATCGTCGCAGTTGTAGCAGTAGCGGTAGTAGTAGTAGTAGTAGTAGTAGTAGTAGTAGTAGTAGTCGTAGTCGTAGTCGTAGTAGTAGTAATAGTAGTAGTAGTAGTAGTAGTAGTAGTAGTAGTAGTAGTAGTAGTAGTAGTAGTAGTAAAAGTACAGTTTAATACCTACAGCTACGTCTAGACCTACATCCACATCTACACCTACAGCTACATCTACATGTATTCACGCATCTGCATCTACATCTACATATACAACTACACTCACATCTACATCTCCACCTACACCTACATCTACACCTACATGTACATCTACATCCACATCTACACCTACATCCACATCTACACCAACTGCTGTTGCTTTGCCTTTGCTTTGATGCTATGCTATGCTATGCTATGCTATGCTATGCTATGCTGCGCTATGCTATGCTATGTTATGCTATGCTGCGCTATGTTGCGCTATGCTGCGCTATGCTAGGCTATGCTATGCTAGTGTATGTTAGGCTGTGCTATGTTATGCATAGGCTATGCAATGCTATGCTAGGCTGCGCTATGATATGCTATGATATGCTATGCTGCGCTATGCTACGTTATGCTATGCTAGGCTATGCCGCGCTATGTCATGCTATGAGCGGCTATCCTATGCTATGCTATGCTGCACTATGCTATGCTATGCTATGCTATGATATGCTGCGCTATGCTATGCTATGCTATGCTATGCTATGCTATGCGGCGCTATGCTTTGCGATGCTATGCTATGCTGCACTATGCTATGCTATGCTGCGCTATGCTATGCTATGCTATGTTATGATATGCTATGCTATGCGTTGCTGCGCTATGCTATGCTATGATATGTTATACTATGATAGGCTATGCTAGGTTATGCTATGCTATGCTAATGCTGCGCTGCGCTAAGCTAAGCTGAGCTAAGCTAAGCTACGCTAAGCTAAGCTGAACTAGGCTAGGCTAAGCTCAGCTGAGCTAAGCTAAGCTAGGCTAGGCTAAGCTAAGCTAAGCTAAGCTAAATTAAGCTAGGCTAAGCTAAGATGAGATAAGCAAAGCTAAGCTAAAGGGGGCGCAACTGGGGGAACCGCGGGGCGGATACTGGGGGAACCGCTCGGGGCGAGGAGCACTGCCCAGCCCCTTTAAGCCCAGCGAGTAAGAACCCTCTAGGCAGAGCCTAGGTAGGGAATGAAAGTAAAAAGATCAATGATAGTACTAATAGTACTACTATTACTACTAGCAGTAACAGCATACTACTACTATTAAGAATATTCATAGTACTAAGCATAAGCATAAGCATACTAATATGAGGAGGAGGAGGAGGAGGAGAGGAGGAGGAGAGGGAGGGAGGAGGAGGAGGAGGAGGAGGAGGAGGAGAGGAGGGGGGGGAGGAGGGAGGAGGAGGAGGGAGGAGGAGGAGGAGGAGGAGGAGGAGGAGGAGGAGGAGGAGGGGAGGAGGACGAGGAGGAGGAGGAGGAGGAGGAGAAGGAGGAGGAGGAGGAGGAGGAGGAGGAGGGAGGAGGAGGAGGAGGAGGAGGAGGGGGAGGAGGAGGAGGAGGAGGAGGAGGAGGAGGAGGAGGAGGAGGAGGGGGGGGAGGAGGGAGGAGGAGGAAGAGGAGGAGGAGGAGGAGGAGGAGGACCAGTGCAAAACCAAGTGTCATAATCGATGTTGGAATTCACCCTCCCTCCAAGCTCCTTCTTCATAGGCCCCCACAACGGTTCATTTCCATTCAGGGAGCTGCCTCGTTGGAAGACAAGCGTTTGAAGATCCTGAAGCATGCCAAAGCACCTGTTCTCGGGATTTCAACGCCACGTATCAACCTGGCTGCTACGTGACGATCTGGAACCGTGCCAGAGCGCCGTTTTTGGGACTTCAAGACCACGAATCAACGTAACTGTTGCACCCGCATAATATTGAATCCTTCCAAAACGCCATTTCTGGTACGTTGATCATGAGAAGCCGTGAAACTCTTGCAAATTTTGAACACGAATATACGCGGCGTTAATGCGAGGGCCACATTTTGAAAACCACCCGCCCTCAATCCGTGAAACGCTTGCACATTTGAAAAAGAATGTGCGCGGCGCTGAGGCGAGAGCCACATTTTGAAAACCACCCGCCCGCAATCCGTGAAGCTCTTGCAAATTTTGAAATCGAATGTGCGCGGCGCTGAGGCGAGAGCCACTTTTACAAAACCACCCGCCCTCAATCCGTGGAGCTCTTGCACATTTTGAAAACGAATATGCGCGGCGCTGAGGCAAACATTACATGTTGAAAACCACCCGCCCGCAATCCGTGAAGCTCTTGCAAATTTTGAAAACGAATGTGCGCGGCGCTCAGGCGAAAGCCACATTTTGAAAACCACGCGCCCTCAATCAGTGAAACTGATGCAAATTTTGAAAACGAAATGCGCGGCGCTAAGGCGAAAGCCACATTTTGAAAACCACCCGCCCTCAATCTGCGAAGCTCTTGTAAATGTAAAAGCGAAAGTGCGCGGCGCTCAGGCGAGAGCCACATTTTGAAAACCACCCGCCTTCATCAGTGAAATTGTTGTCGCTTCTTAAGTTTCAGAGTCATGAATGGTGAGGAAGTTTTAAGGGAAACGCCCGGCCCGCCCTAAAAACTGGCCTCGGGGTGCGACACGGAGGAGTTGTCAATGATGAGAAGGAATGGAGGAGGAGGGGCTCGCCGGCTAGCCGGCACTGTTGGGCTGCTGGGCCGAGGCCGGTATTCTGGGCAGGAGGAGGAGGAAGAGAATGAGGAAAAGGAGGAAGAGTTTCGGCGTCGGTTTCGGTTAACCTGCGGTGAGCAAGGGCGAGCCTGGGCGCATGGAGACGACTCAATCGTTTTCGGGGAAGGACATTCCAGGCTGAGGGGGCAGACCCCTGGATGGGCGAGACAGCGCCTCTCGACCCTTGACAGTGGGGGGCTCGCTTGGCCCTCCACCCAACCGAGAGCGACATTCGACAGCAAGTTTACGAGCACTGTCCACAACATGTGCTCGACATGCAAAACAACAGAAACACCCCGTTTCATCACTGTCAAAGCATGCGTGCCGTGAACGAGCGCAAAGAGGGGGTGGCCTGCTGGAGTCCTAAGCTCTTGTACCTCCGAGATCACGAGAGGTTGCTTGGGCAGCAATCCTCGCTGGCCGTCAACGTGCTCCCAAGTGCCTCCAGCCTGGGCACAAGACGAGAGTGGAGAACAGGACTTTGGCCAAAACTTATTCAGCGGAACCTTCAAAGGAAAGTA